ATATGTATGTACGTTGAAATGAGCATACTAGCTACACGTTTGCGCTTCTCAGGTGTTGGCATTTATCTGTGACTCCAATCTTTCTCTTTTGCAATTTTCTCATCTCTTTCAGTGGGTGTAATTTTGCTTTGCCTATTTTTCACGCCAATCCCATTTCACATTTACTAGTTGTCGTGGTTTCAGATAATTATGTTCGGTTATGTTTGTGATTTTCCCACCAGCGTGAAATAATTATGTTTCTTAACTCGCATACATACCCTGCGAGAACATCAATGACATGATTTTATTAAGATAGTTGAGAACTATGAAGCTGCGCGCAACTATGTTTTTTTACAGCAATGTAACTTTTAGCAATTTATTCGATATACATACATATTTATTCATGACATTACAGCAGACGTCCAATATGACGGATCTTTTGTTGTGCGCCTAAATCGTAATAGTCAAAAATTCGTTAAATCGAGTGATTTTTTAACCCCATCTTTTCAGTTAAATAACTAAATGCATTTCGTTAAAAAAAAAATTTATATTGGCCCGTAGTAACCCAGCAAAAACACGATTACCTCAGAAACGAAAGTGGAAACGAGCTAGGCGATGGGAATCGCTTACCCTTTCGCTTCGAGGAGGCCTTATTTTAACATGGGCATGTTATTGGCGGTAAGCCCTTACCCGCCCTCGGAGTTTGGTTGAAAAGCGTCCTATCCCAGAATTTGGTTCACATTCAGTGCTGCAAATTTTTTGGGTTATTATACACATACCCAGTAAAAATTTGCAGGTTAGTACTAACTGCATTTTAGTATACGCACCTAATATTGTACGAATGGCTAACTCGGAAAACAGATTCTGTTTAGCTTTCTTTCGGCTTACAATGTAAAAAAAAGTTTGGTATTCTTTCAGCTTTCTCTCCCCTACGACCTCTCGTTGAAAATCTTGTAAAAATTAAGGCAATTCTGCCATACTTCACACAAATGGTTGAGTCAAACTCAACATGGCGGCCAGAAAATCTGAACATTTTGGTTCGGTTTTTCAAAACCTCAAACCGCCCCATGCACTACACAAGTACGTGCAACTAGAAATACAAATTATCGCTAACCACGTCTACCAAAATATCTGATGAAAACAAATTACGGGTTACTAAAAAAACACCTGCCCAAATCTGTTCACGGTTAAAATTTTCCTACGGTTCACAAAGCGGTATACGTTATTTAGATAAGTACGTACACATAAAAATGTACCAAATGTAGACAAATTTTCATGTTTTGTGGGAAGCAGTGAAATTAATTATGTCTGCATGCTAAGGTTTTGCACCATTTTACATCTTTGAGGAGACTTGTGAGAAGATTTTTTTACGTCAATAGAATACCAAAAATTTGTCATACTAAAAGTTTATTTACTTATGGAACATAATATTAAAATGCGATTAGGCTTTAACTAGTTATAGTGATCATATCAGCATTTTCTATGTATTTAATTTTTAATAAATAATTGCTTTCATAATATCGCCGCTGCGGTGTAGTGGTAAGCAGTGCGCACTTTCACTCATCAGCACCTGGGTTCAAGCCCTGGCCAAAGCTACATCGCAAAAAATATAGAAAAAGGCTTTTTCTTAACAGCGGTCGTCCCTCGGCAGGCAATGGCAAACCTGCGAGTGTATTTGTGCCATGAAAAACAGCTTCTCGTAATAATACAATCGCCGTTCGGAGTCGGCGTAAAACAGTAGGTCCCTCCACTCTGTGTGAAAACACCAAGGCGCACCCCACAATTCGGCGGAGAAGCTCGGCCAAACACTTACATATGTGGAAGCGGCAATCTATTATTATTACTAATTGCTTTTATAATAGTTTCAAGTAGTTAAATTGTTAATTATCTCTCTTTGTAAGTAATCAAACCTTGAATTTTCGATTTTTATTAAAAAAATATATGTATATTTATATATTTTTAGTATGGGCACCAAGTGGGAAGATGACAAGAAGCTGCTTTTACCAATAACCAAAATCCCTGACTAAAAAATTTCAATAATTTGAAAGTGGTTAATTTGAATCCCGTTCCCATAACCATTATGGATCCAAACGTGAGGATTGGAATTTCGCCGTTCCTGACTCTTCTATGGGAAATTATAAGTGTAGCCAAAGTCAGTCTCGGTTAGCTAAAAGTCAAGGCCTCTCTGTTCAAAACTAATGCTATCTGATCATAAGCGCATACAAGGAATCGAGGAAAATGAACATCAAAACTCTTTTCTAATATTCTTTTATTACTTTTGAAAGTTGAGCCAGTCTTGTTTTATTGGACCTTTTATTAAACAAGTAATTTTTAAGCAAAATACACAACCGACTTCAATACTCGTATACAAATTTAGGAATACCGTTAGTTTTGTCATGATCCAATGATCGGAACTAAACCAAATTTCGGAACGACCCGTGAGGTACCATCTTTCCGAGATAAAAAATGAATCATTGAAATCGATTCACGTGGTCCAAAGTTATGCGGTAGTATACATAAAAAAAGAAAATTCCGGGGAATTGATAACCTCCCCCTTTTTTGAAGTCGCTTGAGAATGTTCGAGTTCTTTGTTAATTTTATGTAAATAAAGGACAATTTATGAAGCTTTAAAAAGTTTATTTATTTATTATATACTGTACACAAAAGTGGCATAAATGTACTTTGAAGAGTATATTATCTGAAGTGAATTTTCAAATATATTCCTGGGTGCGCCACTGTATGTGATTTATTTATTTATTATCCAATGAATAAAAAATTCTATCTGACTAGGAAGGCTTCAAACGAACCATCTCCGAACTCGATTAAGAAATTTCAATTCAAAAATTATATCACAGAATTAGCCTTTATTACGTTAAAATTTGTTCGACTGGAAAGGGCCCTTTCGATGTACGCTTCTGTTTATTTTGAGACATTACTTTAGTAAATTTAAGTTTATATATATGCATATATTTGCACACAAACTGTTTGTGGCAGAACATGCTAATGCACTTAGTTGTGCAACAAAATGAAAAATGTCTGAATAAACTATCAGAGTTGTTGTCAATGCGCCAGTTGACACTTGCTTTTAAAAGTCGATTTTCTGTCACTCTACCGCCAAGTTAACTAGGAATTATAAATGCAAGTACTACCAACATACAGACCATTACGTCAACGAACCAGCAAAGCATGTCGGATGTCCCAAAGGAAAAGTGAACGGAAATGGAAGCAAATAAGTAAAAATTGCAAAGGTAAGCGGAATAAAAAAAACTTTAACTAAGTAACTATGCTGGGACAAAAAAAATGTGTGCTACCCTAGCTGACTGCATAGAAGAGTTGTTACCGTTTCTTTCTTTAAATTTGTTTCCTGAAAACAGGAAATTAACTGAGATTCCTTAACTTTGTCACACGCTTGATTAAAATAAGGATAGAATGTACACTTAGAGCCAGTTTATCAATGTCTGGTTAACACTAACTACAGGTTAAACATCGTCACCGACGTTATCGACTCCCTGCTATATGTTATGGAGTCGATCACATCGATAACGATGTTTAACCTATAGTTAGTGTTAACCAGGCATTGAGAAACTAGCCCTTATTGTGTTTTCGTTTCTACCAAAAAATCTCGGCTTTTGATTGTTACTTTCTTCCTTCAAGTTCGACTCTTTAACAAGGGCAAATCGCTAATTCTGTGTTCTTCTCCTTAAATGCCGCACTCTAGTAAAGCAAAATGAGCACATATCCGGCCCTTTGAAGCTTTGTCAGGGGATATGACAAACACTTGCACAATTATGGGGTTGTAACGCAGAACGTACTATTTTGCATCATGAAAGGGCAACATTTTTTTTTGGAAGAAACAAAAATATCATTCGATTTGTGCAAGACTACTAAAATAGTGAATGACATGCCGTTATCCCTCGCAAAACTTCAAAGCAATTGTTGCCGGGGATCAGCGCTAAACGCACTGCCCTACTCCTGTGCCTAATTAAACATAATATTAGTGCATTAGTATCTGTTACAAAATGACTCTGCCTATCCACTAGGCCTACGATTACATGACTTCTGTAGAAGCTTTCAAGATCAAGAGGAGGAGTAAACGATGTTGCACCTGTTGTGTCAGTGCCCTGCTTTGTCCAGACAAAAAATCTTTCCACTCTTGGTAGGCAATTCCTCCACAACTTGGAGAACCATAGATCCGTGTAAATCAGGGATCATATAAAATTGCTGCAAAGTTGAAAATTGTTTTAGGTGGGATTGGGAGTTTCTGACCTCGCATGCGGCAGCACAATGAGCCCTGAGCCTTAGAGTGTCTTAAAGACGATCGCGACATCTTAACCTAACATCACTGGATCACAAATTTGTATTTGGTTTTTGTTACACGGCAGTCCCTTCATTTTCCATGTAGAATCGCCCGCTGATTCCAAAAATCAAGTTAATTTTTTTTGTACTAAGGATACGTTTTCGAGATATTTTAAATTTACCGTTATCCAGCTTAAAACAAAAGGTGGTTCCACTTAGTTACGTATATCTCACAAACCAATTTAACAATCTGAAAATGAAATACGACAAATGAAATCTAATAAAATTTTCCACAAATCGTGTATACATGACTTTCCGAGAGGACTGATAGTTTCTGAAAAAATAATTAATCATTCCATAAAAAAAAATATAAAAAAAATCAAACTTTAACAGGAGAAAGATTTAAAAAATAACAGGTTCTGTGTAAAATTTTTGCATTTGTGCTAAAGCCTGTTCAGTTACAAAAAAAAATCAAGTTACTAATGAAGAAATCGATGGATAAGTGAGCAGGAAATAATGTTTTTCATACGCTATGTACACCTAAGTAGTAAGCTTTTATGCTATATTTCATACACAAAATCTTTGCGGATTTCCATTTAAACACTTATTACTTCTTTATTTATCCGGCAATTTTCTTAATTTAACACTTGACTTTTTTTAACAGAACTGGCTTTAGCAAAAGTGCAAAATTTTACACAGAACGTATTATTTTTTAAATCCTGCTGTTAAAGTTTGATTTTTTCCTTTTCGGAGCTTCTATTGGTATGCATACGTAGAATAGTATTCAGCTCTTTCATCACATCGCTGCCTTTACGCTCCAGCTCCGAGAATAATTCAGTATCTCCTATTTTATGTAGATCCGAACCACTGCGACTCTTTACAGAACTAGATCTAAGACAAAACAAAACTTAAAATATTTACATACTCACATACATATGTACATGTTTTTTTCATACCCAATATGCACAAAGCAAACATTTTTCCAACTTTTTTCG